GACAATTATACATGTTACCTAACCAAGCACCTTCCAACTCCGAACATCTATAGCTTGTTAGGATGGAGAGAAATGGAGGGAAGTGTTTACGCAAATCTTAGTAGGCTCATCTAGGAATTCGCTTAGGGATTTAGGGGTAATAACAATCAAACCACAAATATCAAATGCGATAACCAAGAACAATAATAAAGCAATAAGTAAATAATTATATTAAAAGAGATAGAGTTTAGAGACACAATTAAAGATGGGCACAGGCCCGACACGATTCCGGCACGGCCTGACACGACACGGTCGCCGACACGGCATGGCGGTCCACCTGTGGGCCATGGGCCGTGCCCTGCACACAAATCTGGGAATCGGCACGAGGCACGGTGGCCGGCCCGTGGCACAGTCGGGTGATGAGTGACATTTATGTCACTCTTAGGGGTAGTATTTAGGTCTTTTTCCTCTTATTTTTCTTAGGTTTTTCCACCTCATTATCCTCTTATGGCTTCTTTTTGTGTTGATGAAAAGTAATGCTTATTTTGATAATCTTTATGCATTATTTTATCATCCCCATGCTCTCGTGAACTTTGGTATCTTCTGCAGGTTCCGTGACGGTCCTATGCACGGTGGGAGGCCCCTTGGCCAAGTATGGAAGCCATGGACAAAGGCAAGAGGAGCAAAAGGGAAGGAGAGGAAGCAAGAAAAGGAAGTGCAAGAGGAGGTGTGGCCGAACCTCTGAAAGGTCCGGTCGAACCTTGGTGTGGTCAAACTTTTGAAAAGTTTGACCGAACCTCCAGGGTGCAGTGAAGGCAGTGTCAAACCAGTTTTCAGCAATTTTGCAGGAGAGGTCGAACCTCAAAAGTTCGACCAAACAAGGATCAGGGAGGTTCGACCGAACCTACACAGGGTTCGACCGAACCTACCCTGAGTCCGACCGAACCTACCCAGAGTTCGGTCGGACCTTTTCCCGATCTCAGCCAATTTTGTACGGACTATTTAAGGTCCTTTTGAGATCGTTTAAAAAAGGGAGAGGAGAAGAAGGACAGTAGCCTAGTTTTCAGAAACCTCTCTTAGTTTGAAACATTCCTTAGGATTAATTTAGCTTAGTTTTCATCAAATCAAATCATTGTATTAGTGAAATTCAAGAATTATTCTCAAAGTTTGGCAATTTGTATTCAACATTTGAAGCTTCAATTAGTAATTTCTCCAACCTTCTTCCTTTTAATTTCAGATTTTATTTGGTATTTGCATGTTATTTAAATCTTCTTAGTTCTTGGTAATTTGTTATTGGATGATAGTTATTTCAATTGTTAACCACTTTTCCCCAATTATTGAAGTATTTAGAACCCTAATTCTTGATTGCATGTTGATAAACATGAGTTGTGAGTAGTCTTCTTGCTAGGGGTTGGGTGAAGCTCGACCTTTTGGGTTAACTATGCAAATGTGGGAGAAACATTGATGTTTGTATTGCAATTAAATTGATTATATGAGATTGCTTGTTAGTTCCTCATGATAGGTTTAGCTACCCTTGACTAAGGAGCTTGATAGTATGATATGCCTAATTTGACATGGAAGTGTAAATTGAGTACGTCATTACTTATTGTAATTTGATTATGTATCATCTATTGCTAAACTAATGAGGAATCTAAGTTTAGTAGTGTGAGTTGTTTTCTAATTGCATGAGGTTGATTTTACATATAGTCCTTGCTATATCTTGTCTATTTTACTCCCCGTTTGCCTATTTGCCTTGGTTGAGTGGATCTCATTCCCTAGTATCTTTAATTCATTGATTTAGAACCATAGTTTGTTTGTCTTCTTGACGAACCCCAATTCACCAATTGACTTCGAGTTAGCTTAAGTGTAAAGATCTTTGGCAATCATATCCTGTTCCTTGTGGACCGAACTCTTACTTGTCATTATGCTTGGTTTGTAAGGTGTTTGTTAATAAATGTGTTTGATTGAGTGTGGAATGTACGACCGTTCTAATGCCCATCATCGGGCACTGTCCGGCATGAGGCTCGCCATAATTATACACTATTGTACAATTTTTGTATTATCAAACCTCGTATTCCTTATAGTAAATGAAGTTATTCACCAATTATTGTACGATTTTTAATTATCATTAATTGTTTGTATTATCGATTTATCGTACCGGCTACCGGCATATAATAAAATAAGTTATTCTTCAATTTTTTGTGTTTTCAGCTTATCACACTCGTAAATTTTTGTTTTTTATTATATGCATTGTTGTTTTTTTTTGCTAAATTAATAAAATTATTTATATAAACTTAAACATAATTAGATAAATAATTTATATAACCTTAATTAAAATAAAGTTGTTCAAAACTATATTAACATTAACATAAACATAAATTAAGTGGTACTAAAATTGAAAATAAATGTAAATATATATATATATATATATATAATTTTTTATTTACAACTATTATTAATTAAAAAAAAATTGGCACGGTTTGGCCCGCGGCCCGGCCCGGCACGGCCCTCCAGGCAGGTGGGTCGTGCCGTGGGCTGGGGTGGTGTGCCAAATTTAGGCACGGCATGCCCACCACCGCGGCACGGCCCGTTGCCCATCTTTAGACACAATACTGAGAAAGGATAGGCTTCCTTGTTCAGCAAAGACACAGTTCCGAGAGAATAAGTACGTAGAGTATTTAGTTTGTATTAATGTTTGAGTGAACGTGCATGAGTATTACAATGTCTAGCTATGCTATTTATACCTAGGAACAATTAGGGTTACAAAGATATCAAATATATTCAAACGTGGGAGATCCTCTTGATTTTATTCTATTTTTCTTGTTCAGCAGGTAGGGATGGCAATGGATCGGTGGTGGGTCGGGTGATGCTTCATCCGCCTCCATCCACCAACAATCCATCCGTCATCCGATCCATCCATCACCTAATTTTCCTTCATCCACATCCGATCCATCCATCATCCATGGATGAATCGGGTGGATCGGGTGATAATTCGGGTGAAGTAAATATATAAATACAACTTTTCACTTTCATAATTAAAAACAAGATTTGGAAAAAAAAAAAGTGATTAGTTTATTAAAACTGGTACATCCTTCTAATACTTGTTCCTTTTTTACTAAATTAAAAACACAAGTCAATTCCTAACATTACAAATAGACATTAAATTATTTAAAAAGATGTTTATTTTTATTCTTTTATATATAAATTTAACGGGTGGATGGATGGGTCGGGTGCTGGGTTGGAAGTATCATCATCCGAATCCGACCCGATTCGTCACCCCACCCATCCATCATCCATCCGTCACCCAATTAAGTTTGGGTTTTCATCCATATATTTAGATCGGGTGGATGGTTATCCAGCGGGTTTGGATGATATTGACATCCCTATCAGCAGGTGTATTCTTGGCAAGTATCTTCCTAATTGATCCTCTGATTTCCTTTGCCATTCTTGTATCAATCAAGCCGCCGCTTGTCTCTTGATATGTTCTTGGGTTGTTTGGCTGTGCCCTAGGTTTATTGAGTTGCTTAGTGAAACGGGCCCAAAAGGTAGGGAAAGGAAAGGATGAGTTTTCCTCCATTTGGATAGCATAAATGGGAGGTGAGAGAATTGGGAGGAACAGAAATGGAAGGAAATTATTTCTTTCCACAATTAAAAAACAAATATTTCCAAATTAGAGAAGATTTGGAAGGAAACTGGTTTTTATTTTCTCCACCTTGCTACTGTTTGTCGTCTCCACCACTTGTCATCATCTTCCGCCGCCATTTCCACCGCAACATTCACCGCCATATTTAGTTTTGATTTACAAAAATCGATTGATAATGAAATCTGATTAACAAATTGATTATGATCTTCAAAAATTGATTTTCTGGGAAAAAAAAAAGGTTTTGGTTTTGATTTTCAGAAAAGGGTTCAATGACAAATAATTAGCAAAAAAAACATAGGGCAAATAAAAGCACATGCTCGCATGCACATGCACGCGCAAATTAGTAATTAATTCCTTAGTTCACGTGAGTGAACTAACAAGATAATCAAGAAAACCAAGAAAATTTTATTCCAATTTCTTGTTAACCGACTTACTTGCCACAATTTTATGTTTTTTACCTCCAAAATTAGCCAATTATTTTCTTTTATAAATATACCTTTTTAAAATTCACATTTTACATTCATTTCCTTTTGAATTGATTGTTAATTCAAGAACACTAATTGCTTAAAACTCATAACACAACTTCTTCCCAAAATTTCAATATGATTAGACAAGTCTTCAAGAATCTTTTCGAAATAAACCCTATTAATGGTACGGCAAAGACTTCAAGTTACAAATGTTTGTCCTCCCATACCACCCCTAACCTTTCTACGTCTCTCAAATTTAACTTAAGCTCTGCGTTGGATAATCGAGAAGCACGATATAGGTTGTATATTCAAGATTTGAGACGAGTATTCCAAGGTCAAGAAAAAATCAATGAGATTCCTTTGTTGACAACACAAAATGAGGGTAAGATCGGTTACGCATCACTTGAAACATCAGATCATAAGCTAAAAAATGAGATTAAAATGTATCATAAGTTTAGGAAAGAAATTGCATATGTCATTTCCGAATTGGTTTTTGGTGATAAATGACGTGACTTTTATACTATTCAACCCGATTTTTCGAGGCCAATCACAATAGAACATCATGCTTTAACATCGTACTTAAAGAAAACAAAAACAAACTAAGTGAAGAAAAAATTCAATGATAATGCAACGATTAAAAAAATTGGATTGAAATATTTGAAAATTGCTTCTATGCTTTTTTTTTTTTTGACAAGAAAATTGCTTCTATGCTAAGGCTTTTAAAGTCGGATAATTAAGTCTTATTTATTCTTTTTAGTTTAGCTATTTTTTTTTATATGTTTTAGCATGCTACAACAAAATAAGGGATATAGTGGTACAATAATGATATTGCACTACTACGTGCTATTGTGTAGTTTATTAGCACCGTACATTACTACGTTGTATGAAACGAGTATTTTGGTTAATAGATAATAATATATGGTATGTCTACAAGTTCCAAAAATAAAATAAAATATATGGTACATCTTCTTTTTCTTTATTATCATATGCGTGCTCAAGAGTGGTTTCGGAGGTCTTCCTAATCATTCTCTCAAATTGGTCTGTATTTTAGCTAGGCTAAGTACGACGCTCAAAGTTAAGTGAGTAAAGTTAGAAAATGGCTAAGTAAGCAAGCAAGAGTGAACAAGGAAGATTGCTTTAAGAATGCTTTTGTATTGCTTGAGAGAACTTTGCAAATTTGTGGATGGGTGTACAAATGAGGGGGAAGCTCCTATTTATAGTGCTTCCCAAGGCCTAGAGACTTCTAGCCTAGAAAGTTCTAACCTCCTCAAATGGAGGGTCCTAGAACAAGGTTACTTTAGAGAGTTCTACACCATTCTACTCTACTCCTCTCTATGTGCAATATTTCGGAATGATCTAGGCTACTCTAGTTTACAAAGAATATACAAGATTGCCCTATAAGATTCTAGAAGCATCCAAAAGACTCACAAACCTTGTAGTGCAATTTGGAACGTTATGGGTCCCATCTCCAAAATCCATCTCGACCATCATCTTCATTGACCCACAAACGGTGGGCCCCCCCAAGTTTCAGCCAGTTTGGCCTTCATTTGGGCCCCCAAATGGCCCATTATTGCGTTACTATCATTTGGGTGTTCACTAGGAAAACAACCCCATAGCTAAATAAAGCTCTATAGGGGAGAGGTGCTTCCAAGCACCTATGGGCAACTCCCAAGTAACGTTGCTGATGTCTTTATGGGTGTGGTGCTTGAGTTGTGACAGTTAGGTATAATTAGCATTAATAATTGGGACACAGACATTCAAATTAATAATCAGGAGATGGGACGGATATGAAAATTGAAATGCACCAGTGTAACGTAAACATGTGAGTCAATAGAAGCTGAAATTTTCAAGGCCTTAGATCACACATACCAATCCACTCGTATTTACTAATAAGGGCACAAAAATATTTTGACTACTTGATCTTGACATCAACGTCTGCATCCATGGAGAATTTTTTTTTCCAGGAGGCATTCCTGCTGCTTTAAATGCTTGGCTGTTACAAAAATGGCACACAATAAAACTTTCCAAAAATTTTGAAACAGTAGAAATGAAACACAAACTTCCATAGGATAAAAGATAACTGCTGCATTGAGAAGGGCGAATTACAAACAAATGAATTCTTCCAAAACAAAGGAAGCATTACACATTACACCTACATATCAATCACAACTATCGTCAAGGATGGGAATATCTCCCTAACACTTTATTGGATCATATGTTAAAGGTACTTTCACTTATATATAGAGTACAATAATAGCACAAGGCATGACGTGTCACAATTATCCATCTCTATAGGGTTATGTTGAATTATTTAAGGCAGACGTAAGCTTTATTTTCCTTTATAGCTAGTTGTTAGAGCATCTAATGCCTAGACATATTTCAGTCTTAGTTATTTTGAGGTTGTAAGAGTAAGATAACCTTAGCAATCAATTTAAGAGCAAAATCATTTTGCTATGCATCAAATGTGCTGGCCAACAAACTCCTACAATCAATAATTTGCATTACAACATACAAAGTACGTCTTAGTTTTCCTTACAAAAACCCAAACAGCAAGTGTTCCTCCAATGAATGACGTGAAGTTCTTATGGTTTAGTTACTGAAATTAAAAAGCAATTTTCAAATAAACACAATTAATTTTATCCAATCAACAAAATTGCAATTCACATGCAGTGGCAGACCCACGAAGGCCATGTTTATTTCAAACAAACATAATTTTATTGTTGTTGCATATCCACATATGGTACATTATTCTTTATACCTTCTATATTATGTAGTTAATTAATTCTACAAGACTACAATTATATAAAATAAACTACCAAAATTTACTCAGTCAAGGAATCAAAGATGCTGATATTACTCGACCACATTTCATTTGATCAGATACAAAGGAACGTTTTTTTTTTTTTTTTTTTTTTTTTAATTTCACGCTATTAGTAATAAGTAGCTCTTTTTTCATATATACAATATACATCCCATGTTTGGTTTATTATAAGAATAAAATTTTCTCATATGAAGCAAAATGATATGTATATCTTATATAGCATTATTTACCTTCTTATAAAACATAAATGCAGGATTATTTGTTTTCTTCATAAGGATTGCCGTTAGTGACCTTGATCCATCAAGTCGGAGATGGGGAATCGTTGTTGTACTTGTGCAGGATTTAAAGAACACAAATTTAAATGGTACGTACCTTATGGTTGCTGAGTTTTCTTTGGAAGCCTTGGATGATCCTTGTTTGTTTTCGTGCTCAGAGATTTTTGCTGCAGAGGAAAAAAGAAGTAGGCTTTCCTGGCTTCTTAGCGATTGTTTCCGAAGAGATTCCGGGAGGGATCCTTTTCCTACGTGTAATGCCTTGTCTCAAGTATGTGGCCTAACATATGCGAAGCATGTACTATTTCATTGTGTATAAGCATAGATTTACCAATACATACATCTTGTAGGGTTTATACTTTTCTGATAATATGCTCTTTCAAAAATGAATACTGATTTTTTTTTTCTTTGCTGAAACTTAAGACGTGTGATCTTCTTACAGGGCTACTTTACTGCAGATGGTTGGATTTGCACAGGGGCAACACCGAGAACTAAAGGAGCAACAGGAACAGTTACTGCAGGCTCACAATCTTTTGGCCTGTAATTCAAAATCAATGTTGGAAGCTCAGGTTATTAAGTACATTTGTAGAAAAGAAACAAATAATATAAACTCATTGACTGATACGAGTATAATTTATATACATGTCTTAAATTTTGTAGGAAACTTTGGAGCCAAAACAAGCAAATAAAGTACACGGTTGACATGACATTTATGACGGAGAATAAGCGGCCAAGAATACACGATGTTTCAGATCAGAACTATTGGATGTGTGACACGTGTCCAATAAAGTAAAAGCTTATTTCCCGCCAAGGTTTTCAAGAGCTAATAAAATTAAGCTAATTACCGTCATAATTTATATCTGCAAATCTAATCACTTAGCTAAACTCCGAGCTCGCTCTTATGAAATATGCAAGACAACTATGTGTACTAATTTGCCAACTCACTGTCTTTTAAATCTATACTCTTCTCTTCATATAATTTTTGAAGGAAATTGGGAAAATGCTCATAATCAAACTGAAAATCTGAAGCTCCAAATTCACCAAATATCGGAATTTAACCTTGAATCTTGATTACTACTAGACTGCCAAGCTTCCGAACTGTTTGTTCCAGTTTTCATATATACCAAGTTCATTAGGTGAAACTGACGGCCTCACCTCCTGCAAAGCATCTTTAAAATCCTACAAAATAAAAGCAGAGTCATCGCTTAGATAGCTAAAGAAAACTTACCAACTGTAACATGAGTATTGAATAAGCTATTTCAAGCAAGACGTGCTTACCTGCAGAGTTACTGGCCTCATGTCCTCTTTGTCCAGCTTTGTAATTTCTATGCCCTGCCTCAAAGCATCTCTAAGTGGACCCATGGAAGCATCCTTCACAAGATTTTTCATATCCGATCCAGAGTAACCTGGGATGGGGTGAGATAAAAATGGTAAAAACAAAACAGATGATGTGTGATCGCAAAGTTGGTAAATAGTAAGTAAGCTAAAAACCTTCAGTCAATTTGCAGATCATGTCCATATCCTCTTTTGAGAGTCTAAACAGCCCATCTTTTTCCAGGAGATTGCGTACTATCCAGGCTCTTGCTTCTGTGCATTCAAAATATTTTTATTAACCTATCAGTGATATCTGCTGGAAAAACAAGCAAAGGGCAGAGACACAGACCTGCAGAAGGGAGTGGTATGTACAGTCGTTTTGTAAGCCGCCTCCTTGCTGCTTCATCAAGCTCTTGGGGCCTATTTGTAGCTCCTGCATAGTACACATAATTTACATGTTAATTGATACCCAAACAAAAACATGAACAAGACCATTGGGTGCAATGCCTAAGCATAAAGAGTCCACTATGCCATGCCCATGAAAATACTGATGCAACAGCCTAGACCTTGGCATCCAAGTGAAAACAAATTGGCATCAGCAAAGACTTCACAAGAATAAAATAAGAGGTTAGGGAAGCCCAACTTTTACATGATAGTCATAAAGTTAAACATCTTTGCTTGAAGTCAAAGCTCTCTATATATTTACTGTAAATTTTAAAATAATAGCAATCTTTAGCAGTTTATCTAATGATTACTCCACCTAATGTGGCAGGTTGTACGATAAAAGAGCATTTCTAGTCAACTTTGATAATATGCCATAAAAATATGAACAATCACCTATAAGCAGAATCTGTTCACTTATGCTGTCAAAGCCTTCCATCTCGATAAGAAACTGAGTCTTGAGTCTCCTACTTGCTTCATGCTCACCTTCTGATTTGCGCTATCATAAAAAAAAAACTTTTATAAAACTTCTCAGCAATAGAGAAAGTTATGATTCATGCAGGAACTGAATTAATTTATCTTCAAAAATATAATAAAATATGTGGTCACATTTTTCTGTTCAAGCCTCCTTTTTATTAATTTGAAACCCCAAATATTTGCTTCTGCAGTCAAGTCCATATAGAAGCAATAAAAACAATAAAATCCCTCTTCCTCCAAAGCTAAAGCTCAGAGATTACCTGCGACAGAAGGGAATCAATTTCATCAACAAATATAACTGCTGGTTGACGGCAACTGGCAACTCCAAAAAGAGCCCTCACTAGCTTTTCACCCTCCCCGATCTGCATTTTATCAACACATCAAGATCTTAGCTCTAACATAAAAATGAATCACACGCCAGTTTGCACTTCTTGAACATAAAATTCAGAAGATAATAGCAGATTGTCTCTATCTGAATCTTTAAGGCAAGCTTGAATTAGGAATTAACGAATTAAAGTGGGGGTAATAAGAGAGAATCAAGCCAAGGAAGATTGGTAGGGGGAGACAGGTGGTGGTGGTTAAAGGAGGGATGAAGCGATTATAATCTTTATTTTGAGGGTTTAAACCTTCCCGGGGAGAGGGGGGAAGGGATGCTTAAACTAGACGGTAATATATAAGAGGTAATGATTCCCCCACTGCCCACCTCCATCCTCCCCTCACAACCACAACTGCAAACTACACCTGTCTTCCTTTTCTTTATTATCTCTTATTAAACACCGTTAATTCTTCACTCCCAATCCAAGCACCCCCCCCCCAGTCATATTAGTAATATACTGTCAATTAACAGCTTAATGCAAAGGTCATTTCTTCACTATGTCAAGTGCCAATGAAGGGAGTCTGGAAAACAAGAAATTAGTGGACATGCCTTCCATGTTTCATGAGATTCATATGTCATTGAATGCACAATTAGCAAGCAGGTATCTCAAAACACACACAGATTAACAAGCCACACTTGAACCTTGAACAAACTAAGTTCTACATATCAGATGAAATGAATTTAAATTCATCAGAGAATAAAGTTTTATATATAAGGAGAGTAGATAAGGAGTACCTAGGAAAAAGGCAACAAAATTCTAAGGTGGCAAGAGAAATGTATAGTCTGCAGCAAATTGAACTGAAAAACTCCCTATTTTTTATGAGAACATGACTTAGAATTACAAGCAAGCAGAAAACACAAAACAGAGTGAACAATGCAAAAATCTTTGGACCCAAGGTTTTAAACTTACCCACTTACTAGTCAGTGAACTGGCAGATATGTAAAAAAATGTCGCTTTAGCCTCTCCAGCTATAGCCTTTCCAATCATTGTTTTACCAGTTCCCTGATATAAATATATGAGACAATATTCATGAAACAGTACCTTTTAGGCCACTTGCACTTCAAAAGTAAAGAGCTGCAGTACTTACAGGTGGACCAAAGAGCAGAAGACCTCTTCCTGGAGCACGGCATCCTTTGAAAATGTCTGGGCGCAATAGAGGCCAAACCACCATCTCTGTCACACATTTCTTGGCATGCTCTAAACCAGCTGTAACAAGAAGACAATGAATGCTAGATTTATTCATAAAAAGGAGCATTGCATATAACAAATGCAAATTACCAATGTCATCCCAGCGCACATTGGGATCTCGGTCCATAATCTCATTGCTAACATGTTCAATTAGACGAGGCTCCAAATTTCTCAGCTTCTCCGGCAGCTCCCCATCAGGACCACATAACATTTCCAAACTAGCACAAAACAAATGAGCTGTTAGCAATGATCACCTTCCACCAGTTGACTACAGAAAGTGTAGTGTTGGAAGCTCTACTTAGTGGACAATTGGCTGGATGCCAGGACATGTAAAAAACTATTTGGTGGGCCTTGAGGAATAGACTAAACTGGGTAGAATTAAGTTATTTAATTTTCTTCATTTTGTGCACAGAACTTTCCAGGAACAATTCCTATGTTTTTTGTCAGCCAAAAATATCCTCAAATTTCAACTACAAAAGTACAACTTTCTGTGTAATCCAATGTCAAAAGAGCTACCACTTTAGTATAATCTTATAACGAAGCATGACAGGGAAAACAAACAAACAAACAACAAAAAAACAACACAAAAACAAAAATTAAAATTAAAATTAAAATGAAAGCAAAAAACTGTGAAAAGCTGGTTATCAACCCAAGTTTAATAAAACACATGCGAGGACATACCATTTTCTGGTTGAATCCTCCACGGCATCATCACATTTGCCACCAATTCGTGCAGTCATATTCCCGCTATTGTTGCCCTTGGATCTGATTGGGGGAATAAAATTACCACGGACCCCACGACGTGATACACCATATGATTTTCCACTATAACTCCGGCTGTTGGAATTGTAATCACTAATGGGAGAGACAGAACAGCTTGGTGAACCACCCAACCCTTTCTTTTGCTTTACTTCCATTTCCTGTTATAGGAAAACAAGATATAAATATCAATAAGATAATTTGGAAACTGGAACAAGTCCCAGGCTTCCGATGTATTAAGAAGGCTGTAGTCTAATTTCAAGATGTAGACGTAATTGAAAATACCAATTTGGTTCTAGCAGTCACAAACGCATTTCCAGAGACTTCTCTGTTAGTTTCGTTGTTGCTCAAAGCTGATCCGATGTCATTTCTAGGATACCTTGATTCCATGTGAGGACGCTTTACTCCCAAATTGTTTCCAAGCATTCTTTCTTCTTCTTCAGCGTGTGCAAACGAAGAATTCCCTTTGACTTGATTATTTGATGCACATGCCTTGCCCAAAATAATGCAGTCATCAGATCCATTATTTTTGGATGTAACAGGACCTTTTACACCAACATTACTTCTACCCATCATGTTGTTCCCATGCCAAGATGACAAGTCAGCCTCAAGAGTAGTTTTGGAGGTCTTCCTAGTCAGTCTCTCAAATTGGTCTCCTTGGCCTCCCTGCACAAGGTGTAGATAGCAATGAGCACTTAAATCAAAAGTACTGCTCCCTACTGGCTAGGAAGCCACACAATGAACATAACTAACTAGGAACCTTGGAAAGTTGCACAATTAGAAGACACATAACAGCACTAGTCAAATTCAATCAGTTGTGATTCTAAAGATCTATCAAGGTGCTTATACTACATTAATTGCCCTCCTCACCAAAATGAAGAAAACGTAAGGTATAATTAGTATCGTAGACATTCGTATGAAAATTGGAAGATGTGAGGATCTGCAAATTGAAATGAACCAGTAATGTAAACATGTGAGTCACTAGAAGATGAAATTTTCAAGGCCGTAGATCAAACATACCAATCCACTCGTATTTACTTTGGAAGACTGCTGAATAAGGGCACGAAAATATTTTGACTGCTTGATCTTGACATCAACGTCTGCATTCATGGAGAAAATTTTTCCAGGAGGTATGCCTGCTGCTTCAAATGCTTGGCTGTTGCACAAATGACACATAGTAAAACTTAAAAATAAAATAAATTGAAACAGTAGAGATGAAACACAAACTTCCACGGGATAACAGATAACTGCTGCACAGAGAAAATTACAAATAAATTGATTCTGCCAAGAAAAGAAAGCATTAAACCTACATATCAATCACAACTATTGTCAAGGATAAGGGAAATATCTCCATAACACTTTATTGGATCATATGTTAAGAGTAGAGTCTGCATTATGGACATTAGAAATAATTGCCATCTAGCTTGTCGTTGTTTTTTTTTTTTGACAAATAGCTTGTTGTTGTTGTCAACAGTTAGAGCATCAGAAAATGTGTAAGAAAGAGGAAATGCAGATATATTGAGGATATTATATTTTAGGAAATTATATGATAATATTTAGTTGCTATATTTTGTGTCTAGAATATAATCTTTTGAGATCTTTGTGATATTTCCTAATTTTATCATATTAGGGAAACCTTGTATTATATATTGGGGATGGCCGTATCAATGGAAATCAATTAATTGAGTTTGTTCAATTTAACATATTCTCTCTAATTTAGCATGGTATCAAGAGCAGGTTAAATCGTTTTTTTTTTTTTTTCATAAACATGGTTGGAGATGATGAAACCCCTCCACCACATACACATAACAATGTGCAATACACCAACACCCTCCACCCGTGAATTTTGTGTACAGCAGGAGACAAAAGAGGCAGCCACTTACCACCAACAACAACAAGCCTTAAGCCACAGCAAAGAGGGAAAACAGAGGACCGTTAAGGGGGCAGCAGGCAGACAGGCAGCTTTGATCTTTTTGTTTGTATTGCACTAAAATAGTATAAGGACAATAGTAGCAATTGTAGTAATTAAGGGCTATGTTGCCTATTCTAGTAAGGTAATTGTAGTATAAGAAGTGGTAGCTTAGAATGAAAGAATCATCCAGAAATTTGTAAGCCAACACTCGGAGAGTTATGGCCTAAAGCCATATTTATCTTTCGGAAGCTTTAAGCTTAGCAATCAAACAATAACCTTCGTCTTACTTACTGTCTTAATACGCTAGTCCGTTGCACTTGGTATCAGAGCAAGAATGCCTCCGACACCACTGACGGTGACGCCGGAGAGGGTGGCGGCGCCGGAAGAACGCATAGAGGAAATCCTTGAGAAGGTCGGAGATGGTGAGAACTCGATACAGAGGGCGTTGAAGTGGGACCAGGACGCATTCTTTGAGGAGATGCGGAACCTGATGGCGACATTGCATCATAAGGAGGAGAATCAAACGCTTGGTGAGGGAAACTACAACGAAACTCCTTTAGGCAACGGTGGCCTGAGGTTTGGAAACTGGGAGCTTGGGAACGGCGGTGGCATTAGGCATGTCAACCACGTCAACTGTGAAGGGAGTGGGAATTGGCGTTATAGAAAGCTAGAAATGCCGACCTTCAACGATGGGTGGATTCTCAGGGGTGAACAGTTTTTTCAATTTTATCGGCTGTCGGAGACGGAGAAATTGCAAGTTTCGGTGGTAGCAATGGACGGAGATGCGCTCTTGTGGTATCAATGGGAGAGCAGGAGACGACCTATGGTGAGCTGGGAGGATTTGAAGGGGCGCATTTTAAATCAATTCCGGCCGGTGAACTCGGGGTCTCTTCACGAACAATGGTTGGCGGTGGAGCACGTGACGACGGTGGTAGAGTACAGGAGGTTATTTATAGAGAAGGCCTCCCCGTTGTTGGATGTGCCGAAGAGCATAATGAAGGGGAAATTCATTAACGGGTTGAAAGAGGAGATCCGAGCCGAGATCCGCATGTTGAATCCATTAACCCTTGAAGACGCCATGGATCTTGCGACCCGGGTCGAGGAACGGAACCGAGTCAACAGCCTGAGGAAAACGGGTAGGGCATTTTCCAAACCCGGACCCTATTCATACTTTAACCGCAGCCAGCTTCTACTCTTTTGGGTAGTGGGCCGGCCCAGAAGACAACCACAAACACACCTCCCTACAGCCCAATTCGAACCAGCTCTCAACCCAACCCATTTCATAATCCAACATTCAGCCCAAACCAATCTCCACAACCATCGTCAGCTTCTGTGAATCAACCTTCTTCATCATACTCCGGTAGATCAAGCTCCAACACCACCCGTTTCAACGGTGAAGTCCGACGACTTACCGAGAAAGAAATCCAAGATAAAAGGGCGAGGGCCTTTGTTTTCGCTGTGATGGTAGGTGGACGGAACCAACCCACGTATGTGCGGCAAAGGGGTTGAGCGTATTGTTAGTAGGCGAGGATGAATGCGAGGAAGAAGGTGAGCTACAAGTCTTGGAAAATTCCGAGGAGCAAGTAGAGGAGGAAATTCTAACCACCGCTTCGATGAACTCAATTGTGGGGCTTTCTAATCCCAAGACAATGAGATTGACCGGTTTAATCAAGAAGCAACCGGTGGTGGACATGATCGACCCGGGAGCGACCCATAACTTCATTTCCACGTCGACAATTGAGAAACTTGGCCTACCCATTAGTGGAACTCAAACGTTCGGGGTGTCATTGGGAAATGGAGAAAACATCAAGGGAAAGGAGCAATGCAAAGGGGTGCACTTGGAATTAGGCAATGGTGTTGAAATAGAGGAGGATTTCTTACCCCTTAAATTGGGAAATTCGGATGTGATCATGGGGATACAATGGCTTGAAAAGTTGGGAACCATTCTCACTAATTGGAAGGAACAAGAGATGAGCTTTTCTTTGAATGGTCGTACGGTGGTGATTAAGGGGGATCCAAGTTTAACAAAAGTAGGGGTAACACTTAAGGCCATGATTAAGACCTTAAGAAAGGAGGAGGGAGGTATTTTGGTGGAGTTGAATCGGATTGAGAAGCAACAGGGCTACCAAGTGAATCTGGGCCGAAAGAAAATGGGCCGCCAGATTTTTTGAGGGGAGTGATTGAAGAGTACGCTGAAGTTTTTGAAAGTCCTAATGGGCTCCCTCCCACAAGGGGCCATGAGCATTCCATCATCCTCAAGGAAGGTAGCAACCCAATTAGTGTTAGGCCCTACCGTTACCCACAATTCCAAAAACACGAGATCGAAAAGCTCATCGAAGAAATGCTTCAAGCGGGCATCATAAGGCCTTCTACATGCCCCTTCTCAAGTCCGGTGCTTCTCGTCAAAAAGAAGGATGGGTCTTGGAGATTTTGTGTGGACTACCGGGCTCTCAACAAGGAGACCGTGCCGGATAAATATCCGATTCCCGTGATTGATGAACTTTTGGATGAGCTACATGGGGCGCAACTCTTCTCTAAATTGGACCTCAAGGCCGGCTACCATCAAATCCTAGTTCGGCCCGAGGATACCCACAAGACGGCCTTCCGAACTCACGAGGGTCATTACGAATTTCTCGTGATGCCCTTTGGTCTTACCAATGCTCCGGCCACCTTTCAATCACTAATGAACGAGGTATTTCGTCCCTATTTGCGTAATTTGTACTTGTTTTCTTTGATGATATACTCATATATAGTGCTAGTGAGGATGATCATATTAGGCATGTGAAATTGGTGTTAGCAACTCTTAAGAAACACTCACTGTTTGCGAACTTAAAAAAATGCGAATTCGGCAAGCCCAAGGTTGCATACTTGGGCCACATAATTTCTAATGAAGGAGTTGCTGTAGATGGAGAGAAAGTGGGCTCTATGGTGAGTTGGCCCAAACCGAAATCTCTAAGAGATTTAAGAGGTTTTTTGGGACTAACAAGGTATTATCGAAAAGTTATTCACCACTATGCACATATTGCAAGGCCGTTGACAGAGCAACTTCGAAAGGATAATTTTGGGTGGAATCCGGCGGCCAACGAAGCCTTTCAGAAATTAAAACAAGCCATGATTTCCGCCCCGGTACTCACGATGCCTGATTTCTCGAAAGAGTTTGTAGTTGAGTCCGATGCCTCGGGGTACGGCCTCGGCGCGGTGTTAATGCAAGAGGGAAAACCGGTGGCTTTCTTTAGCAAGGTGCTCGGCCCACGGGGTCAAGGAAAGTCGATTTACGAGAAGGAACTTATGGCGGTGTGTCTAGCGGTGGAGAAGTGGAAACACTACCTTTTAGGCCGGAAATTCGTGATCCGAAGTGATCAACAAAGCCTCAAGTACATCACTCAACAAAGGGAGATTGGGATGGAATTCCAAAAGTGGGTGCGCAAATTGGTTGGGTTCGAATTCGAGTTGCAATATAAGCCCGGGGTGGCTAATAGGGTGGTTGACGCCCTCTCAAGGCGGGGCGGAGATGAAATTGAGTCGGGGGAGGAATTAAATGCTATATTAGCCACGCAGAGGGTGGATTGGGAAAAATTGAGAGACGAGATCGCCAAGGATGCGGATATACAGAAGCTGCTGACGGAGGTGGAGCAGGGCAAGGGCCTCAAGGATATACGGTGGAGAACCACCCGCTGTTGTATAAGGGTCGGATTGTGTTGCCCAAGAATTCGGTGCATAGGTCAGTTCTGTTTCGAGAATATCATGATTCCCCGGAGGGAGGTCACACCGGCGAAACCAAAACTTACTTGAAAATGGGGGCGGATTGGTTTTGGAGCGGAATGAGGAAGGATGTGGCGGATTATATTCGAGGATGCTCTGTGTGTCAGCGAAACAAATTCTCACAGCAATCGCCGACGGGGTTATTGCAACCTTTACCCATCCCGGAGAGGATTTGGGAGGATATAAGCATGGATTTTATTGAGGGCTTGCCGCGATCGAAGGGGGTGGATACAATATTCGTGGTGGTGGACAGATTGTCGAAATACGCACATTTTATAGGGCTCAAACATCCATTCACGGCTTACACCGTAGCTGAGGTATTTGTTAGGGATGTCGTTCGCCTACACGGGGTTCCAACAAGCATCGTTTCGAATAGGGATAAGGTGTTCCTAAGTATATTTTGGAGGGAATTGTTTCGAACGCAAGGGACGGAGTTGAAGCGGAGCACTTCCTATCACCCCCAAACCGACAGGCAAACGGAG